GGAGCTGCTGACTTGGCCTTTGCAGAGACTCTGCCCCGCCGGCCCCGGGCACTGAGGCTGCTCTCCTTCCCCTCTCTCCACCCGGCACTTTGCTTCTGTTCTCTCTACCGATCTGTTCATTCTTTCTCAGCTATCTCTCTTTCTTCTGAGCAGACAGTTCAAACATAGCTGCCTTAGAAAGGGGCCGTCAGCCCTGGAGTGCTCTTCCCTCTCCGAGTTCTGGATCTTCAGCCGACAAGCTGGAGCTGATGGATGCCTAGTTCTCCTAGGAACAGTGCGGGTGCAGGCAAGAAATCACTCGGCAGGCCTTTTCTCTGGCCCAGGGATTGCAGTCCCTTTAGGTATTTCATGACTGTTTCTCTGTAGCTCACTGGGGAACCAGGCTTCCAGGAAAAGGCACTACCCTATCGCAGGTTTTCAGCAGCATGTGTAGAAGGGGACGGTGCTGACTTGTAGTGTAAAGCCACTTGGACAGCTTTTAAGAAGCAGTTTGTGAACATCCAGTTTACATTTTTATTTTTGAAGTTCTAAATCAGAAGAAAAATCCATTCCCATCAGATTTCATTGTTTTCTAATGGATGAGAAGGGTGATTTTTTTTTAAAATCTTGATGCCTTCCTACACACACACACACACCCTCCACTATCTGGCTCCATTCATTTATAGATGAGGCTCCTGTTACCCATAAAAGTGTTTCCCTAAATAGCAGAGGACAAGCATTAAACATCATTCAGTCTGACCACGTGATGGGGATTGTGTGTGCAGATAATCACTAGCTTTACCAAAATGCTGTCAGATGTCCTGGTCCAAAAGGACAGGTGAGAGAGGTCTACTCACCTCCCTAAGTTTGAAAACAACTGAAGGAGAGGTTCTTAATCTGAAATCCAAACAATGTGTGAACCCCTTTATATTATATACAAATTTTAGCACATGTGTTCATTTTTCTGCAGCTGGCATCAGCAAACTCCCAACGGGGACTCAGCAACCTCACTCGCCCCCTGTTCATCACCTAGCATACCCCCACCGCCAAAAGCCAGGACCTATTGAGAATGGACAGGGCGTCCCTGGTGGCTCAGTGGTAAGGAATCTGCCTGCCAATGCAGGAGATGTGGGTTCAGTCCATGAGTGGGAAAGATTCCCTGGAGAAGGAAATGGCAACCTACTCCAATATTCTTACCTGGGAAATCCCATGGACAGAGGAGCTTGGAGGGCTGCAGTTCATGGGGTCACAAAGAGTCAGATAGGACTTAGCCGCTACAACAACAGCACTGAGAACCGACACACTGCCAGGGGCTGTGATGACTGAATGCCGGAAGGAGACCTATGGGGGTCATTTTTCCATAAGGCTCCTCTCGGGTGCGTGCCTGTGTCTGGCATGTGGGGGACAGACGTAAAAACTGTCACCGTCAGAGAGTCAGTGCGCAGAGACCCGGATTGCCCTAAGAGCACGCAGCCAGGACTGGTGGCTGAACATTCTTCTGCTGTAGACACAGAGAGAGACAGTGTTTCAAGCTTGATAACTGCGGCAAAGTAAAGCATGTCTGCTTTACTGCTTCCCTGAGGGCCGATCGAGAAATCTCAACCAGGTGCCTGCCAGCGTTGCTGTGTCCTAGACACACTTGGACTCAGCAATCAGCCTCCCAGCATGCGGGACCCCTCAAAGTCACTGGGCCATGGGCTCCTCCTGTGTCCCAGGATGGGGACTATGAGAAGCAGGGGATGCTGGACCACGCAAAGGGGCTCCCTCCACCCCAGGGACCCCCATCCTCTCTACCAACTGTGGCTATAGCCAACGGGATAAGCCCTGCTAATTGTCAACAGGCTGCCTCTTCCCACTAAGCCTTCTGTTTCAGGTATGTTTACAATTGCACTATTCTTAGATCTCAGATTCTCATGAGAGATCTGGCTCTCTGCTGGATGTCCCTTGACCTCCACTGCTAACACTTCTGCTGCTTTATGCTCTGCATGGGAGTTTGGATCAGATTTACCCAGCATACCTAGCAAAGACCCATGAATCACCCTGCTAGTAGGGATGCACCTGAGGAGTGCAAATGATGAGGGAAGCAGAGAATTCTTCCTCCAAACATGAGCCCACCTGTCCCCTTCACTAAGGCTGATCTTGGAGAACTAATTTCTGCTAGGTAAATAGCAATGCGGACATCAATTTCCTGTCCATGGCAGCAGCTTCCACAGTTCCCGTCTTTCATTCAAACATGTGAATGCTTTGCCTAAACAGCACGTTTCTCATTTAGCACACCTTGAAAGACTGCTATGTCACTTGGTCACAATCGTGAGCAGACCGTCTGTGCAAGCCTGGGATGGCTCCATGGAGGCGCATCACAGCAGCAAAAGGAGATGCTTCAGCATGCCTGGCAGACTCCCAGGAGAGAAATCAACTTCCGAAATTCGACTTTGAAAACCTGAATGCTGAGGAATGAGTTTGGAAACTCATGTGAATCTATATTAGAAAGTCATTATTATTTTTTTAAGATGCATTAAAGAGAGTTTTGGGAAGAGACCAAAAGTTTGCCACGTGTCCATCTAAAGGTGAAAACTTTAGCTCTGGCCTGTTCTGGAGTTTTCAGTTGACTTCTTAGCTGTACCCAGGAAATCTGAAGGCAGCCTCAGAAGTTACTTGCATTGAGAGAACAGCATTGAAACATGTGTATTACCATATGTAAAATAGATAACCAGTGTGAGTTTGTTGCATGAAGCAGGGCACCCAAAGCCAGTGCTCTGGGATAGGGTGTGGAGGGAGGTGGGAGGGAGCTTCAGGATAGGGGGCCACTTGTATATCTATGGCCAATTCATGTTGATGTATGGTGAAAACCATCACAATATTGTAAAGCAATTATCCTCCAAATAAAATAAATAATTTTTTAAAAAGAAATAACAGGGGAAAAAAAGAAGAAATTACCTGCATCCCTGAGGCCCAGGTGACTCAGTGGGTGCAACCATTTCTATTATTCTAAACTTTTATATGACTTCCCCCTTGGCTCAGCAGTAGAAAATCCACCTGCAATGCAGGAAATGCAGAAAAGATGGGTTCGATTCCTGGGTCAGGGAGATCCCCTGGAGGAGGGCATGGCAACCAACTCCAGTATTCTTGCCTGGAGAATCCCATGGACAGAGGAGTTTGTTGGGCCTCAGTCCATGGGGTCACAAAGAGTTGGACATGACTGAGAATGCACACATGCAAACTTTCATATATATTCTTATACATGGTTCTTCCAGAAACCCTATGCGGCATTTATTATGAGTTACATTTTTCAGGTGCAGAAACTGAGGCTCAGGGAACTGGGAAGTTTGCCCAAAGCCACACAGCTGGGAAGGGGCAGAGGCCGGTGTTTGCAGTTCTTCTGAATTGAGTCAAGGATACAGTCCACTTTCCCTCACACCTCCCCACTCTCAGACACCTAAATCTGGAATCCAGCCTTTTCCAAGAAGACCTAGAAAGCTGAATGCTAGGATCAGAGGAATCTCATCCTCCATTGCCTTTTCCTGTGGCCTTGACTGGATGTAGCTTATTCTACAGTCTCCGAGCCAGCAGAGGAAAGAGTGATGAGAGTGTTCCGAGACGAAATTAACTAATGTCTAACACTGGGATGCCCTGGGCAAAGGTTACATGCTACAGTATTCTCCAAATATTCTATGAATGGTTATTCTGGCTTTTTAATTGCAAACATCCTTTATTAAACTGAGGGCCAGGTGATGGAGGGAGAGATCTTCTATGTAGACTGGCTGGGAAGGAAGATGGGTATCAGATCGCAGAGCAGGGGCCCTGGAGAAAAAGGCTTGCAGCCATGGTGAGCAGTGAGCTCCCCAAACCCGGAAGGCTTGGCTCAGCTGCGAACCTGCTCCAGCTGCTTCCACGCAGCGCTCCAGGAGATGTGGGTCTGGCGGCAGCATGTGACTGATGGGTGACCTTGGTCGGGAGGCTTGTTTCTTCCTAGTGCAACAATATCACGCTGGGGGAGCACCGCCCACTGAGAGTTGATGTCTCAGCCTCCGTGATAAACAAGGATAAACGAATTAGCCAAGAAAAAAAATAATTGAATTTTTTAGAGAGGATGTTTCGCTTATCTCGTCTTAGCTAACAAAATCGAGACAATCCTGGAGTTGTCCTGGGCTTCTGTCCTCTTCTCTTTTACAAAGTGCCCACAATGCATGCGGTGGAGAGGTGTCCCACCAGGAGCTCGTGCTGAGGATCACATCCCAGCCTGCTGATTCAAGGCCTCCTCAGAGACCGCTTTTTACTTGCTACCGAAGCCTTGGGATTATTTTGATATGCTGGCCACGTGACTTAACATCCTTTCTAACCAGAATCATAGTCCTGAATCACTGATTTAAAAGCACAGGGTGAGGGAAGGGGAGGGGACATCTCCACACCTTGAAAATACCCCTCCTGATTTCAGCCTAGGACACGCACTGCTTCCAGGGCAGGGGGAGCCGGAGGCAGTGCCCTCAAAATGGGGAGATGACATTTGCATACGATGAGGTCGAAAGTGGCAAGTTTTCCATTTCTGTTCATTCAGCTCCACAGTCTGATCTCAGCACACAAGGGCCCCAAGACATGCTCCCTGGTGCTGTCATCAGAGTCTCTGACGAGTCTGCCCTGACCCCAGGGGCCACACATATCTCCACCAGACGAGGTCTGCTCAGCCTGGCATAGCACGGACTGGGCGGGGGTGGGGGCCCAGGAAGAACAGCTGTCATTTAGCCTCCGAAAGAGGCCGATCCACTTCAGAAGTCAGAGACACAGGGAGGGAGGGAGACAGAGAGAAACCTGGGGCAGAGGAATTGCCTGCAATTCCGCAGGCCTGCAGGCTTTTCCTGAAGGGGTCACACCAGCATGATGTGGTGGGAGTGGAAAGGATGAGCAGCTGGCTCCTGGGAGAGGAGAAGCCTGGGAAACGGGGCTGAGACGGGCACTGAGACACGGGGTCGATGATTTCCTCTAAGAAAACTCCTGCTCAGGGGCCTCGGGCGATCGCCGATACAATGGGCTCCAGGAGGCTGAGCCCACCCACCCAATCTGCACCTTCTGGGAATCTAGCTCAAGTGTCTTACCGCTACTGCGGTTCCTCCTTTGATCACCAAGTACAGCTTAGGAGTGTTTCTGGAAGGATTCTTCCCTCTCCTCTGCTCATCCCCAGCCATCTGTTCCTCCCCTTCTGCTGACGGGGAGTTCTGGGGACTCTGTTACGGTTTTTTAACTTCAGGGCATTCTGTCTGTGACACGTCAAAGCAAGATGAAGTCCTGGGAATTCCAGCTTAGAACTCTGGGCCCGAGCTCATCGCGGGTGTCTGGGGTCAGAAGTGTGAGGGCAGGGGTGTTGGGGGGTGGAGGTGGGGTTCAGACAAACAACTCCTGGGTCCCGAGCAGACCCAGGGACAGCTTAACCCTGACTGCCTTTTGTCGCTGACGTGGCACACACAGGCAGCACGGGGTTTACTTTGTCTGGTTCTCTGTTTTCTTGTCCTTCAGAGATGACTGCTAATTCTGGCCGGTCACCCTCGTGGAGTTGTTTTAGATTGATTCTGTGAAGTTAACAGACAAGGTTAGGCTGTGCCACTCAGCGGAGCTGCCGGGGAGAACTTGCTAGAACCGCTAAAGACTGTTAGGGTGATGGGTCAACCGTGGCCATGGAGCGTGACAAGTCAGCAGAGGTGGGGCCGGGGGCTCTCTGAAGTCCTCGGGGCCCTCGAGGTGAAGGCAGCGCAGCCTGTGTCCCATGCGCTTGGATCGCTAAGCACAATCTGCACTCCCCGAGGCCTTTCCGTGAACAAGAGATGGCTCCCATCACTTCTCTTCAAAGCTGCACGAGGTGTAAGCTACTCTCCCCACTGTGCAGATACGGCTCCACTAGGCCATGGTGGGACTGAGGATCTTCCTGTGACCGTGCTGTTAGCAGTAGAAGCAGCAGGACTCAAACCCAGAAACCTGGTGTCAGAGCCTGAGGGTTGTAGGAAACACCCCATGGAAGGGTGAGGTGGCAGGAGGAATGTTGCCAACACCGTGGCATCACTGGGGCACCCCTTCACCATCCGTGGGCCCCTTTCCTGTATGAGGGGTTTCCCAAAGGTCCCTTCTATCTCTAAACATCTAGAAAGTTATAGATCTGCTGCTGTTGCTGGGGACAAAGTCTTCTGATAGAGCAGACTGGACAGTCATCAAAAGCAGAAGTGGAAGGAGCTCAGATGTTATGACGGCCCCAGGCCAAGTTTCCACCACAGCTAACATGTTTTGGTACTTGCTAGGTATTCAGGCATTGAGCCTTTCGTGGGCATGGTTTCCCTGAATTCTCACAACACACCTGTGAGGCAGGAGCTAACACAGCCCCTGTTAGATGCAGCAGCTGAAGCCCAGAAAGGCTGATTAACACACTCGAGTGCCACACAACTCCTAGGTGATGGAGCCTGAGGCATCTCTCCCTGCCATCTCTGCCCACCAAGCATGTTATATCTGATGCCAGCACACCAAGAGCTCCAGAGACCACAATGACTGGGCCGAGCACAAGAATAGCCTTCCCAAATGCAGTTTCTACCACTAGCTGATGATGGATCCTTGGCCCCTGGAGTCTTCCTTTCAGACCACCTGGGGCTGAGGACGGGACCTGAGTATGAGAGCAGCCCTGGGAAATGGATCTCCTGAACAGGTGAGTTTCAGCGGCAGGCTTTCATCTAGCTTCTCTCATGAGGCCTCTTCAGTTCAGCCGCTCAGTCGTGTCCAACTTGTTGCGACCCCATGGACTGCAGCACGCCAGGCTTCCCTGTCCATCACCGACTTCCAGAGCTTGCTCAGACTCATGTCCATCTAGTAGGTGATGTAATCCAACCATCTCATTCTTGGTTGTCCCCTTCTCCTCCTGCCTTCAATCTTTCCCAGCATCAGAGTCTTTTCAAAAGAGTCAGCTCTTGGCATCAGGTGGCCAAAGTATTGAAGTTTCAGCTTCAGCATCAGTCCTTCCAATGAAAATTCAGGACTGATTTCCTTTAAGATTGACTGGTTGGATAGCTTTGCAGTCCAAGGGACTCTCCAGAGTCTTCTCCAACACAACAGTTCAAAAGTATCAATTCTTTGGTGCTCAGTTTTCTTTACAGTCCAACTCTCACATCCATACATGACTGCTGGAAAAATCATATCCTTGACTAGACGGACCTTTGTCAGTAAAGTAATGTCTCTGCTTTTTAATATGCTGTCTAGGTTTGTCATAGCCTTTCTTCCAGGAGCAAGCATCTTTTAATTTCATGGCTGCAGTCACCATCTGTAGTAATTTTTGGAGCCCAAGAAAATAAAATCTGTCACTGTTTCCATTGTTTCCCCATCTATTTGCCATGAAGTGATGGGACCGGACACCAGGATCTTTGCTTTTTGAATGTTGAGTTTCAAGCCAGCCTTTTCACTCTCCTCTTTCACTTTCATCAAGAGACTCTTTAGTTCCTCTTCATTTTCTGCCATAAGGATGGTGTCATCTGCATATCTGAGGTTATTGATATTTCTCCCGGCAATCTTTATCCCAGTTTGTGCTCCATCCAGCATGGCATTTCACATAATGTACTCTGCCTATAAGTTAAATAAGCAGGGTGACTATATACAGCCTTGATGTACCCCTTTCCCAATTTGGAACCTGTCTGTGTTCCATGTCTGGTTTTAACTGTTTATTCTTGACCTGCATACAGATTTCTCAGGAGGCAGATCAGGTGGTCTGGTAATCCCATCTCTTAAAGAATTTTCAAAGTTTGTTGTGATCCACACAGTCAAAGTCTTTGGCGTAGTGAATAAAGCAGAAGTAGATGTTTTTCTGGAACTCTCTTGCTTTTTTGATGATCCAATGAATGTTGGCAATTTGATCTCTGGTTCCTCTACCTTTCCCAAATCCAGCTTGAACATCTGGAAGTTCATGGTTCACGCATTGTTGAAGCCTGGCTTGGAGAATTTTGAGCATTACTTTGCTAGCGTGTGAGATGAGTGCAATTGTAATGTAGTTTTAACATTCTTTGGGATTGGAATGAAAACTGACCTTTTCCAGTTCTGTGGCCACTGCTGAGTTTTCCAAATTTGCTGACATATTGAGTGCAATGCTTTCACAGCATCATCTTTTAGTATTTGAAATAGCTCAACTGGAATTCCATCACCTGCACTAGCTTTGCTTGTAGTGATGCTTCCTAAGCCCACTTGACCTCACATTCCAGGATGTCTGGCTCTAGGTGAGTGATCACACCATCATGGTTATCTGGGTCAGAACATCTATTCTGTATAGTTGTTCTGTGTATTCTTGCCATCTCTTCTTAATCTCTTCTGCTTCTGTTAGGTCCATCAGTATGGTTCTGTTAGGTCCATACTGATGGACCTAACAGAACTACTATTCTGTTGGACCTAACAAAACTACTCTAATGGCAGAGTAGAATGATGTGCACTCATCTTCTCCTACAAGAACTCCAAAATTACAATTTTCTGCTGAACAACCATCAACAGGAGAATGTAGGATCCCATTGAAAAAAGATACCCCACATCCAAGGGCAGAGGAGAAGCCCCAGCAAGACAGTTGGAGGGGTGAAATCACATTTAGAATCAAACTCCATACTGGCCAGAGATGCTCAGAGGGCTCAGACAAAACCTTGTGAGCACCAGGAAGTCCCACAGAGACTGAGCCAGACCTGCCTTTGAGTGTTTGAGTGTCTCCTGAGGAGGTCCAAGTCAGCAGTGGCCTGCGGCAGGGGCAGGGGCTCTGGGTGCAGCAGTCCTGGGTGTGGCGTAAGCCCTCTTGGAGGAGGTTGTCACTAGAGCTGCTGAGCGGATGACCCACAGACTGCAGAACAACGATACCAAATAAATTCTTGCACAGTTAAGAAAGTTCCAGGACCCACAGCAGATTTCCCAACCTGGGCATCTAGCAAAGAGACTGAGAACCCCCAGAGAATTTGACTTTGGAGGCCAGTGAGATTTAATTACAGAACTTACACAGGACTGGGGAAACAGACTCTTGGAAGGCACATACAAAACCTTGTGTGCACCAGGACCCAGGAGAAAGGAGCCATGACCCCAGAAGAGACTGACCTAGACTTGCCCGTGAGTGTTGAGGAGTCTCTGGCAGGGGGGTGGGTCAGTGGTGGCCTGCTGCAGGGTCGGGAGCCCTGAGTGTGGAGTGTGGCAGTGTGTGCACGGGACCTTTTGAAGGAGGTCGCCATTAGGCCTCTTGGAGAACCACATCTTGGAAATTAAAGTTGCAAGGGTTTTTCCCTCCTTTCTTCCCTTTTGATTATATATATTGAATTTAAATTTTGGCAGAGAGGTAGAAAACGAGTTGGCCCTATTGATGGTTAATTGTGGTCAACATTTTCCAGGCAATATTCAACTGCTAGAAAACTAGTGTAGGCTCCATGGAGCAGAGAGGGCATAGAAAAGAACTGGTGTCTAAGTGCTGAAAAAGGATGAGGAAGAAAGTGGGCCTGAGGCCGTAAAAATGCATCCTCTCAGTCACAAGATTGCCTCCAGGGAGCCACGCAGAGAGCCGGGAAGAGAATGTGTGCTCATCATCACATACGGAGTAGCGTCTTGGAGTACAGGCCATCTGCTGTTGACAAACCACCCCCAAACTTTGTCTTTCTCTAACCTCATCGACATCAGAGCTCAGTGTGGGATGGAGGCTGGGGCTGCGGAGAAGGTGGTGGGCTCTGCTCCACTTGGTCATTGAGGGATCCAGGCTCCTTCCACCTCATGCCTCTGGCATTCCCTCAAGGCTGGGAGTTCTCCGCTCCATCCTCTGCACTCAGCAGATGAGGGAAGAGAGATCAGCTGAAAAAGGCAGCCTTGCCCTAACTGCCTCTATTGTATCCCATGCTTCCTCTCCTCTTCCAATGTGGGAACTTGTCTACAACCTCACCTACAAACAAGGAGCCTGGGGGTTAGCCTAGTGATGCTGCCAGCAAGATGAGAAGTGGGGTGAGTGAGCCCATGGCACTGCTCCTGCCATAATAGCCTTCTGGGTTCCTCGAACATTGATTCCGAAGACCTTTCTCATTGTAAACAGGACCTTTTGCTGAAGGTCTAAAAAATGTTCCAGGGGGCCATACCTTTTCCCTCAGGTGTATATCTA